GTATTTAATGTTTTTTTTTTATCAAAATGATAATTATGAATCTTTTTTCTTTCAAAAAGCTTGAAATTATTGGAAAGAAACAGTAAAATATCTGAAATAAAAGTCACACTACAGTTAACAATCTTTAAGTTCTGGCCGACAATTTTCTTCTTTGTTTTTTTAATGGTTAAAGTGTGACGCTTCATTTTTTGTAAATTAAAAAAAAAGGACAAATTTGGCAACATAAACATTAAAAAACAAAAAACAAAAAAATTCCGACCTGCCGGAATCGAACCAGCGACCTAAAGATTTTTGCTGTCACAGACTACAGTCTTCCGCTCTACCAACTGAGCTAAGGTCGGATATTATTTATCTTCTAATTAGTTTTTTATTTAGTTAACAAAATCGTTCCTTTGTTTCTTCTTCTTGATGCAGAGATCACTGAAACGTCTAATGATCTTCGTACTCCCATCACTAACACTGGAAGCAATCTACAGAATCTGGTGGTACATCTCTGGCTCACACGAGATTCCTTACATTATCAATCCAGTTCTAAGCCATGTCATTGCTTGCACTCTCCAGCTCTCTTCTTGGCTTTACCGTAACTCTGTTTTCATCATTGTCTGCATTCTCTACCAACTAACTTGTCATCTTCAAACTCTCCGTCTCGACGATTTCGCTCGTTGCTTCGCCTCTGAGATCACCGACGTTGGCTCGGCCCTCACAGAGCATCAGAAGATTCGTCGTAATTTGAGGATTGTTAGTCATCGTTTCAGAAGATTCATACTTTTGTCCTTGATTCTTGTTACTGCTACTCAGTTCATGGCTTTGCTTACTACTATAAGAGCTAGTGTTGCAGTTAATATCTATGAAGTTGGCGAACTCATGGTAAGTACTAACTAAAGTACCCTTTACTTTCTTCTAGGGTTTGGTTTGTGATGTTTTTGTGTCTGTTTTTTACAGTTATGTTCGTTGAGTTTGGTTACGGGAGTATTCATATGTTTGAGGAGTGCAACGAAGATAACTCACAAAGCTCAGTCTGTAACAAGCCTTGCAGCTAAATGGAACGTTTGCGCGACTGTAGACTCGTTTGATAATCTTGATGGAGAAACTCCTACAGCTTCGATGATTGAGTCCCAAATTTCACCATGTGGCAATAATGCCTTTGATACATCTGATGATGAAGAAGGAGAAGGAGACGATGATCTTGATAATACCAAGATACACCCGATCTACGCCAATACAATTTCCTACCAAAAACGTCAAGCTTTAGGTAAGAATTTGATTATAAAATCACGAAGTTTGTATAATTATCTGATTCTTGATTGTGTTCTTTTTGCAGTGACTTATCTAGAGAACAACAAAGCTGGGATCACTGTGTATGGATTCCTTGTGGATAGATCATGGTTGCATACGATTTTCGGCATTGAACTCGCTCTTATTCTATGGTTGCTTAATAAAACAATCGGTATATTGGCTTAAACCGGTTTCTCTTGTTTCAACAGAATCTTCTTTTGCCAAT